TGGGGAAGTCCCTGTTCCCCCGTGCACTATCAGGAGTGACCAGGAATAACAGTCACAAGCTGGCAGAGGGGAGATTCAGACTAGACATCAGGAGGTGCTACTTCACTGTGAAGATTTGGAACCAACTTCCAAGTGAAGTGGTGCTGGCTCCTACCCTGGGGGTCTTTAAGAGGAGGCTAGATAAACACTTTGCTGGGGTCGTTTGACCCCAGTACTTTTTCCTGCCAAAGCAGGGGGTCAGACTTGATGATCTGCTCAGGTCCCTTCCGACCCTACAAACTAGGAGACTGTGCATCTCTTTATGCTGATTAACTATCACAACAAACCAAAGCATGCTTTGGAGTCCTTGCAAAAGAGCCCTGATCACTCCATTTTGTTTTGTAAAACATTTCCCCAAATAAGAGTCATCTAAAAACTCATCTAAACTTTTAAAGAAAAAGAGCGGGAGGAAGCTGTTTGGAAATATTCTGGAAAACATTCAGTTTGTTTGTGTTAAATTTGACTATAATTGATACCATGTTTTATCCAACTAACTGGCCTGGAGAAACAGATTGCATTTTAGATTAGTTACTCACTGGTGGGTGTTTTTCATGTTTACAATACAGTGTCCTAGCCACATTGAAAAAGTGATGTTTCATGTTACTTCACTTCTTTAGCCTGTTCAATTAATTTTAATTAAAATTAATTGCTCTTTGCCCCATAGACATGAATTACTCTCGATTCATCACTGCTGTAAGCGCAGCAAGAAAGGCATCTCCAATAAGAGTTCTGAGTGAGTAAACTTTTCCATTCCTAACCCAGCAACCCTTAAACGGTATTGCCCTGGCCTGAAACATTGTATATGAATATTAGAGAAGTCTTGCAAGAACACACTGGAAATTTGCAAGCTAACTCATTAGGGTGACCATATGGGACAGTGTGAAACATGGGATGCTGCCCCCACCCAGCCCTTTGCTGCTGCAGGCAAAAGCAGGGTGGGGCACCACTGGTATTATTATTCAAGCAGCTAGTGAGTCAGTGGCCCATTAGCGACCCATTTTTTTTCTTCACAGCTGTTGACAATCCCCTTTTTAATGGTCATTCCACTAATCAAGCTAATTTACCTGGCAGTTTTGCTACCTGCTAGGGCTTCCTATTCCCTGCCCCACACCCAAGACACTCATTTTCACTGAATGGCCAGGTCCAGCCTCAGAAATCCACGACCGTACTGGCCAATCTGGGACATGTGGTCACTAACTCAGGGGTTTTCAACCTTTTGGGATTAGTGTACCCCAGGCAGCTGGATGCGGAGGGGTGGCAGCACATGGCCGAATGCAGAGTGGTGGCAGACACTGCATGCAAGCTTCCCCCGCATCCAGCCAGGCAGGCAGTGTCCGTGCGGTAGCACAGGATGGCGCGTGGCGAAGCTCCGTCCCTGCCTACCTGTACATAACCCCTAGGGCCTTCTCAAAGACTCCCAGGATAGGCGTACCCTCAGCTGACAATCCCTGCTCTAACCAGTATGAAAGGCTAACTCATCTTTGCTGTTTGTAGGCTAAAGTTGTCAGGCAGAAGTAGTTGAAAGATCTTGCCTTTACATCCCTGAAATGAGTATGCATTGCACCCTTTGAAAAATCAGGGCATTCAGAATGAAGAAATGGTTACACTGTTTAATTCTTTTCAATTTGTACCAAAAAACATTTCTGCTATTGCCTCTGGTTCTGCAGTTGGGGCTGTCACTGCGATGTCTGTTACTGAATTTTCATTAGATGTTCAGGCTCAGTTGACTGCTAATGACTTAATTAAAGAGAGAGTCAGTTTGGAACTCAATCTCTATTTTCCTCACACTTTTTGCTGCTTTACCAGCCATACTGATATGCCTGTGGCTTTTTGCACTTCATCAACTCTCAGCTCTTTCATTCCAGGCTTGTTACTTCAATTTACTTTTACCCCATTTAGTGCGGCTGGCATAGGCTGCTTTCCTAGGATGCACTTTTTTAATGACAATTCAGTTCTTCCATATGGTAGGCAAAAATGACTGACAATCTGACCCTAAACTGCCTTTTTCTAGAGAAAGTGTGTAGCAGGTTTGAGCCCACCACAAGTGGCTGTGAACACCCACAAGTGCCTGCCCCACTCGGGCTCCCTGGGCACCCTCCCTCTTATCTCGCCTGCTTTGCTTTGATGTACTTCATGGATTTGTAAAAGGGAAGCTGCCCTAGGGTTCTAGAGCAAGCCCTTATCCATCCTCCAGCCAGCAGGTCCTCCCAGACTCCACTGGGTCCAGTCCTGCCCTGCCCCTCAAGCGTAAAGTGGACCCTCCTGGCAATCCATGCCCCAGGGTACCTGTTGCCCTAACAGTGATTTGTGGTCTCTTTCTGCTCCTACAGCCATAGGCACCTCATTGTAGCTTAAACCCCAGTGTGCCCTTATCACCCCTTGTAATCACATCCAGTCCACCAATGTAAAACTTAAACAAAAACATAAGCCCACTGGCTATAACTGAAATGCCCCCATTACTTCATACAAGCCTCTTACTTGTAGTCACCAGGACAGCATAAGTGCCAAGCACTCCCTCTCCTGTAGCCATCCTGCTCAGGAGCAACTCATTCTGCTGCCTGCAGAGCCAGACTTCCTGCTCCCACTCAGGAGGCTTATATGTCTCCTTAGCCCTGCCCCTTCCGGTCAGATGGCTCCCTAGCCACCCACAGGGGTTTTCTCTTGGGACCTGACAGCTAGCTTCCACGACAGCCTGCTGCTACCCTTGCTGCCTTAGCAGTGCACCAGCTGCCCAGGCCTAGCAATAGGCAATTGTAAAATATGAGTCCCTGGCTGCCTCCTCTTCTGCAGCCAGCCCATAATGGGTAGTGTTTCCCCATGTCTGGGGACCTCCCTGCTGCTGCTTCTCCCTTAAAGTAATGGGAGCACTGTCTCCCTGTTACACAGTGCTTAAAATGACTCATTACAGTTTTAGAGGTGAAAGTTTGAGCCTTGCTTCAGATGAATCAAAGACCACCAGCGTTATATCTAACTATTCATGTCCAGCCTAATAATTCAAGCTGAGGTATCAAAGGTGGCCAGATGTCATAATAGCCACATGAGTCCCTTGTGCACTATCAACTACAGGAAAGGTGCAGGCAGAAGTACAGCTTCCCCATCTAACTCATGGTGCTTTCTGTCATGGTGCTTCACAGAAAGCACCATGAGTTAGACTGATTCTGTTGACCCACTAGACGTTAGCTGTTAGGTTGGGAGGGCGGGGGAATCAAGCTCCAATTTGGAGCTGATCAGGGAGAGAGGCTGCATCTCTGCAGCCTCTTTCCCTAGCCCTGCCGCCTTTCCCACCCCCCCAACCCCATGCTGTCCCAGGATGGGAGAGGGAGAAGGCAGGGGAGGGAGGTCCATTCTAGGTCCAGCCTGTACTGGAGCGTGGGGAGGATTGAAACTAGAAAAAAAATGAATATTTTTCTAGTTCCTACATTTTAGAAATCTGATCTTGCATTTTCTTTTCAATTGGAAATCTCTACGGACAACTGGAGAATGAGTAAGATTATGTTACTGCAGATATCAAACTGAAACATAATTAATCAAAAGGAGAAGTGATTTTTATTCAGTTGGAAAAGTCTGTTAGAGATATAGCACTGATGCCCTTTTAATTAACAACTCAGAAGGTTTATAATGTGTTTCTGATCCAGCTAAAAACAACAAATATTGGCATCCCACTGCTTAAGAAGATCTAAACTTGGAAAGAACATGGCCTCTGAAGTCCCCGTTGCACAGCCAGCAGCAGCAAAAAATTGCATAAATCCCAATCAACTTTTGTTTTAATCCCTTTAAAGGGAGTAAAGGGACAGGAAAATTGTAAGAATTACATCTTGTGTCCACTACTGTGTAACAGATGCCTTATTCCTTTTTTCCACAGCTGAACTAATGCAGAGGTCCCCACCATCATTAATCTCTCTGGCTGGCGGGGCACCAAACCCTAACACTTTCCCATTTAAAACTGCCAGGATCACCATTGCAGATGGAACTGCTGTTGAGATGGGGGAGGATTTGATGAAGAGAGCCCTCCAGTACTCTGCCTCAGCCGGGTACTGACCAAGATATCATACAGTCAATTTTATTTTAAAGTCCAAGAAACAATTTATTTTTAATATATGTTAATATTGACCTTTACAATGTTTTTGTTTAGCTGTTTAATCCATATATACTGGGGGTTTTAAAGTGAATGGAGTGAATTGACAATTATATACATTTATTAATTAAAATTAAGTAATTTCAGTTTACCAATATTAGAGAGTCCCAAGTGCCTATACTACTGCAAATACCATAATGTAATTAAGGGTTGTCATGCAGTAAATACTAGCTGCTTCAGGATGCTGACTCCCTTAAGGCATGTCTTACCCCTCTGTATGAACCAACTTTCAAAAACAAGGCACAGTCACAGTAACTACTTCAGTGGCAATATGTACATACCCCAGTCTGCTCTTAATCTCCATTTTGGGCATGCTTATTGGCAAGAACTCAGTGGGACTCTGCAGATATATAGTCAGCCAAGGACAGAAAGGGTACTATTGGTATTTCAGCCTTCATACCTTTGGTTGTTACCAGTCTGGAAAATTTAACTGTGATGGTTTGGTTTTCTGTTGTACATGCTAGTCTCTTTTAATCTTATATAAAATGAACATATGCTATATTTGTTTACTTCACTCATTCCATTAGTTGAAATGAGAATATTTCGAACTAGAGACTAAATATGTCTGTCTTGTTGAACTAGCACATGAAAGACTGACCTACCACCCCTAGATTTAACAAGAATTTAAAACTGCAGTAGAGAATAAGTGTGTATAGGACCTTACAGATTATAATGATAAATTAAGACACATTCTGGGTTGCAGAATTCCTGAGCTGTTGTCCTGGCTAAAGGATTTACAGAAGAGTCTCCACAGTCCCCCCACAGTCAACTACAGTCCTGATCAGGGACAAATGGAGATATGTGTCACCACAGGCAGCCAGGAAGGCCTATGTAAAGTAAGACTGAAAGCTAAATATATCACGGCTTCTATTATACAGCTATTTGCTTTAAATAGAATTTTTAATAGAGGTTGTCCTGAATAGCATAGGCACAATTACTATAATAATGGTTCTCAGTGGAGGGTAACTTATGAATTTAAGTTACAACATCAAAACATTAAAGTCAATAGAAATTGGAACAAAACTTCCTAACAGAATAATTATCTTCTGTGGCTACGTAATTGTATAGGTGAAGTGAAGGTATTCATCAAAGAGAATATCATAAAGATATTGGATTCTATTTGTCTCTACCAAATGATTTTTAAAAGTCCAGTAATGGAGAGTGTTGGTAAGATTAAGGGATTGCTTACTATACTGGTTCCCTCTGACTTGCTTTCACTTTTCAGAATACATTTTCCAAACAGGTTGGTGTGCATATGCTGGTAGGTAATTGATCCACTCCCTGGCACAAATGCTTTCTTTTGTATTATAATAGATTGTGTTAAATATTAATATGATTTCTCTTTGCTATACCTATGTCTCTGATGCTTCAAAATTGAAAGTTTAATCCAGTTTCTGTTTTCTTCTTAGAATACATTTAGATAAGTATTAAGGGAAACACTAATCATCAGAATTTATAATTCTACTAGAGTAGGCAGCAATATGAAGAAAGTAAACCAAAACCTGAGTCCTGTAAAAATAAATTGTTTTGCTTTGTAGGTGTTTGAGATGCTTATTAACCCTGGGGACAACATCCTCCTGGATGCCCCCACATATCCTGGAACACTAGCAGCTGTGAGTAATGTTTAGGTATGGAAATCTGTGAATATCATAGTTATAGCACTTTGGTGTGCATGTCTTAGATTTAACTACTGCAAAGTGTGTCTAAGATTTTCTCTAGACTTACCATTTTTGATTCTGTACTGATTTAAGTGTTATTGGTTAAATAATGAATGACTGTTGCCATGTTTCTCAGCCAGGGTACTGCAGCAACCTTTGTTCTTTGCAACAAAATAATGTTTGTATTATTTTTTCTGTGGTCAAAAATGAATGAAAACCAAGAGCTAGCATTTCCAGAGGATACTTTGTGTCTAGTGAGGGGTGCTTTGAGTTTAAAAAGGTTGAGGATCACTGTTCTATTCCTTGTAATATTTTTTCAACAACATACATATTTTGCTTCATGTCATGATTCATTCTAGACCGATATTTTTACAAAGAATCATATTAGAAACATGAATACACCTATCAGCAAAAGGCAGTCTCCATTCAAGTATATGGGTCAATATATATTTTGAGATCTGGGTGCACCCCACTTAAGTATTCTTGGTAGAGAATATTAATTTGGTATTCTGTGCACATAATAAGTGAAAGTGGGAATAAGCCTAAAACATGATGAAAGGTCAGTTCTTAAATACCATTAATTTTTCTGGAATAATATATACCTTGCATAATTAAACACATTCCTCAAATGCCTAACAGACCAGGAGATGTGCAGGAATAGATATTATCTTATAAATTTCACTTAATAGCTTCACTTCACTTTCTTTGATTCCAAAAATCATCTCTTTACTATTGGTATCTTGTTGTTATTGTTTGATATGCTTTATTCTTTAGAATACTGGGGGGTTGTGGCTCCAGAAGCTGTTCATTTTGCCCCAGGAAATGCAAAGTCAAGAAGTACAGAAAAAGAAATCCCACAGAAATAAACCACAGGCATTTTTAATGTGTCTGTAACTTTATAGATTGGTGTCAACTCATGTTACTTCATTAATATTTTGTAATTGTCTGTCCCATTAGCTATACAGAGCAGTTATAGTCTTTCCTTTGTCCAGGGACAGTGGTTCATAGTCCTAGCAGTGCCACTGAATCTGAAATGGAATTGCAGTGATCTCAGTGCTTTATAGCATGCCCAGACTATCCCTTGAATTGTGAGCAAAGTGAGTTGAAACCAATACAATTGATTTTTATAATCACTTAGATTTGCAGAAAGGCTGTGTTGGCTGAGATTCTGCAGCATTAATGACGGAATCAAAATCTCAACATTAAGATTCGTGACTGAAATATGTCTCTCATCAATTTTTTTTCTCCTTTTGTGAACAGCTGAGACCCCTGGGCTGTAATATAATAAATGTCCCCAGTGACCAACATGGTATTATTCCAGAAGCCCTGAAAGAGATTCTCTCCAGGTGGAGCCCAGAAGATGTAAAAAACCAGTGCAACAATGTCCCCAAATTTTTGTACACCATTCCAAATGGTGGCAATCCCACTGGAACCTCACTGACCACTGACCGCAAAAAGAAAATATACCAGGTATTAATAAAAGCCTAACTGTTATGTCAAATTTCAAACTCCACTGCAAAAGCAACGTATTTTATAAACAAATAAAAAACGGCTACCATCTCATCATGTACTGCTGCTATAAAATCTCTTTAAAAATAACATTTCAACTTCTTGTGGCTTAGTACATTCTGGCCACATCTACACAAGACATTACTGTGTAGCGGTTACTGCGCATTTATTTAGTACTTGTATAAACATCATGGTTGTGTCACATCATGGTTTTTTCCATGCAGTGCTACTGTGCAGTAGTATCAGGCTATTGCGCAGTCAACATCTCATGTAGATGCGCCCACTGCTAGTAGTCTAGGGGCTGTCTGTTGTATTTATCACTGGACCTATAAACTGAAGAAGGTACTGACAAGAATGAAAAGCTCTACCTAATGAAGCACAAGTTGGAGCAATTACTTAAAATTTCTAACTCCGCTATAGGCTGTGAAATGCTCATTGAAAATACTGAGGACATGATCAAGGCAGCTTCCTATCCACATACGTATTTATCATACCCTTAATATCTTTTTTTAATAATTGTTTGTATTAATGTATTCCATAACCCTTTTATTCAGTAAATTTAAAGAAACAAAAACTTACATAAAAATCTCTTACATAACTTTTGGTACATTAAGTTTTAATAACTATGTGGCCAAAGAAAACATTTGTGACGGCAAATGTTTTGAAAGCATGAGGTCTGTAAATATAGGCTGTAAAGTCCATGCATATAAGTGTCCCTATATTTCCCATTCAAATAGGTATTTGAAAAGTATACCTTTATTTCAGTATGCAGATTAGGTCCACAAATGTAGGCACGTGTGGAGCCTGGGACTCAAGTTTTTGCTAAATGGTTATTTCATATTAAAGCTGCCATTTTACCAGTTCATATACTTTTGGTATTAGCATTCTTTAGTGAATTAGAAGCAAATCTTGATACTATTTTGGCAAGCTCAAATGCTCTGGGAAACGTACAGAATAGTGGATGTTTATAAAGTGAAATGATATCACAACTTTTGCTTTTTATTTAATATCAATGATTCTTCACGCTGTTCGTGTTCATTTCTTTTTAGCTTGCAAGACAATACGATTTCCTTGTAGTAGAAGATGATCCATATTATTTTCTTCAGTTTGATAAGGTAATTTATCATCTGTGCTTATTGGAGCAGTATCTCTTCTGGGTCAGGAGAGCATTAATGCAGGATACTTGAGGCTTATGTGCTATTCTTACCTAGTAGCCTGCCAAATTAAATTAAAGCATTGCTAGTACATGCTCAATCCTGATGTTCTTGCGCTACTATGCCTGTTGAACCATCATGTTGCATCATTGTCAGTCATAATGGGTCAAATTCTGCAATCCTTAAGTGATAAAAATGCATTATTCCATTGGATCTCTACTGACAGGAACTTATAACTGTGGCTGCCTCGGGAACACACGGAAAGGGGTTCTCTGCTGTAGAGGAAGTGGGTTGCAAGGCACTGAGAGAGAATAACAGCTGTATCATCTTTTCTGTCTAATATCAGCATTCACCCAAGGCAGGCTACCTATTTGATGTCACTACCTGTTGCTTTTCTTTAGAGTCCAAACCATAGGAAACCTTCCCACAAGTCATGGGAAAAAGAATTGTCCTCTCTTAAATACCAGTGGAGGAAATGTTTAAGAACCATAACTAGGGTTCCTTGTAGATGGATCGGGGCTGGGGAGGGGGAGTGGATCTGTAAGTTTAATTTCAGAAATCAGATCAACACTTGTAAGCAGTAACACCACAGATAGAGACAAAAAGCAATTGAGAAAGCATCTGCCTTGCTTCGACTGCAGAACTGGGTTAGTGGGAGAGTTGAAATTATGGATCTAGCAATAGAATGTCCATGGGAATCGGAATCCATGTGGAGCTCAGGAAGTGATCTTTTAACAAATCCTAGATTCTGAGCAATGTCCTCCAGTTTCTCTGCAAATGAAACAGCTGCCACTGTAGGACTATCAGAGGACTGACAAATTGTTATCCCTGACACACTCATAACAGAGAATGTATTATTTTGCTCTTAGCTATCCTATGGTGGCACCATGCAGAAACTCTAGGACTGAGTATTTGTGCACTCAGTATTGGGTGTTAGACATGAATGCATTTCCAACTCATTCCCTGCTGGCCTTTGAGGGACACTCACCACAGCAGTGTTGGCACTATGCTAAACAAAATCATTTGCCAGTAACTAGGCTCTGCCCCTTTAATTGTGCATGTCCAGTAGAGTTTTTTCATACAATATGTACTGCCTAGGCTTCAAGAAATACTTAAGTCTGTGTTAGTAACAACAGAGTAATTGTAGTGTAACCCATATCTCTTAGTTAAACTTTAAACTGCCTTTATTTTCTTTACAGCCTTGGCCCCCAACCTTTCTCTCCATGGATATTGATGGTCGAGTTATTAGGACTGACTCTTTTTCTAAAATTCTCTCATCTGGGTAAGGTCAGCTTCAGACTTTGCACAATGCTCTTTTGCTATTGGGACTTTAACTATCTCCATTTTGTGACCTTAAGAAACTCACAACCCCCTCTCCATTAATTTACATATATCAGATTAATGATCTCTCTCCAACTTTGCATCATATGTAGGTACTTACAACATGCTCAGTTCACTCTTACTCCATATTCAGGAAGGTACTTAAATCCAGCTTCCTCTGACATTGGCTCCACAGCCATTATGTCAATCAGTCCTTGCACCCTACATTCAGTTCTCCCCAGGGGACCAGAATGAAGCACTGAATGATTCTTCTTCCCTGGTTCTTCACACTTAGAAGCCTTTTCCTTTTGGATTCCACAGCACAATGTGAAAGGGCTCCCTGTTTGGCTGGAGCAGTAGAGTCCAGCACAAGTGATGCACAGTCTCCCTAGACCTCTGTGTGTGTGGGAGGGTGCCCTTGGGGGGCTGGGAGCAAAGCATGCTGGAGAACTGCTGTAGCTTCTCCCAGAAGGTATGTACACAGAAGTTTGATTTTCCAGGGGAGTAATTTAACACTGGTTATTCCCAGGTTATTTTTCTCCTGAAGTGGCCATTTTTGCTCTGCAAGAAAAATTCTGAATGTCTGTTGATTCATGATTTCTACTGGGAGAGTAGCACCTCTCCTAAGAGAAACTGAATGTCTGTATATGGCCTTGCTTCATCAAAGAAAAATAAATTTCAACGTCTATGTGAAATCTAAATCAGCTGGAAGTGTTTCTATTGATATGTGAATAAAAATAAATCAGTTCTTCTCCTGCATGTATTGACTTGGCAATTCTTAAAAGGGAATGGTGAATTGACGAAATATTACCAACCTCACAATACTTGCTGCTTTTCACAAACCCTGAACAGTTAAGGTTGCAAAGAATAAACACAACCCAAATTTCCTAAAGGTTCAGAAATCATAAAAGAAATACCCCTATGATTTTAAACACATTTCCTGACTTTTCGGTCCAATATGAATGCTTAGACTGAAACTTAGTATGTTCCCTCAAATTAGCAGGTGTCTGAATACATGCAGGGCACAGGTCTGTAAAGTATCAATTGTTCAGAGTCAGAGTTTAGACCAAGTTCTCTGCTGGTGTAATTCCAAGGAGCAGTTAATTCTGTTTCTGTGGTAATATCTTTTTTCTTTTTTTATAGGTTGAGAATTGGCTTTCTAACTGGTCCCAAACCTCTTATCGACAGAGTTATTCTACATATACAGGTTTCAACAATGCACACCAGCACTTTCACGCAGGTAATGATTATAAAGGTGTTTCCTCTTTTTGTAAGTGACTATTTCTTTAATTTAGCAACTGGATAGAGGAATGAACGCTTTCTATAATTCCTCACTATTTTCAACATGATCTTTAAAGACATGTGTATTTTAGGTGTTTCCATGGGGGGCGGAGGGGGTGGGGCAAGAACAATAAAAAGATGATATCCAAGGTTTATCTGTAGGGCATGGTAGCAGATCTAAATCGATACTTTTCCATTTACAGGGTTTCCTTTAACTTCATTTAATAAGTTGTTAAGACTGCAATTTTCAAAGGAGTCTAAGGAGCTCTGAGTTATTGTGCCAAATGCTCATGGGTTCCTTTGAAAAATCCCAGCTGCTCAGTATATTGAGATGATTTGGGTTTTGGTTTTATGCAGCATGGTTAACTGGCAACCCATGCTGGTGTGACATAAGCAGTCTGCTAACCTTTTCCAGTATCTTTCAGCTAGTCATCAAAGGGGGATCAGAATTGCCCCTCCAATTTGGCCATAATTTTCCCAGACATTCTCGTCTTCCTAATCACTGCCCTCTCTTGCTCCATAGTCAGTTCCAATACATTCTCCAGAGCTTCAGTGGGATGCTGTGCCCCCAGTCGTCATATCATTTCCCCAGTTTTACTGTGGGCACAGGTAACATGGGAAAACCTATAATAAAGGAAATAGAAATACATTAACTTCAAATGTTAATCCCCTATGTGCATCCCCTTCCCCTGCACCATTCCTCATATTTGTGTCCCAGCCATACATTTTTTCTTTTTGGCTCTTTAATATTTCCATCTCCCAGTAGGGCTGCTACCCTGGCCCTTACCCAGCCCTTATTATTTTTGATGGATGCTGCTTCCCATAGGGTTTGAAGATAAAGGAGTAAATGGCTCCAGGAGTTCTATATGATTTCTACTCTTGCATGGTATTGAATAAAATGAAACAATATTTTTATCATTAAAAGCTTTTGCGTGATGATTGAATAGCTGTCCTAAAATAAAACTGTATGTTTTATTTCTTTAGCTTATGATAACACAGCTTCTTCAGCAGTGGGGAGAAAAAGGTTTTCTGGAGCATGTAGGCAGGTACAGGCTCTGATATGTACTTCTATTTTCTGTAATTAACTAACTGGTAGAATGTTGTTGTAATTACTATCTATGCTATTCTGTTCAATCTTCTTTCAAATACTCTCAGATAACATTGTAATTTTCTACCAGAGCCCATCACGTTGCTGGCTAGTGCAACATATGCTACATCATTCAAAAACAGGCATCTAGAACGAATACAAAAGAAATTGAACTGCAGTGATAAGTGGGACTAAGCTCCCCCTTGTGGACATTTTGCAGATTGATGTCAGAGGGTGTCCACTCCAGTTCCCACATCCCCAGCACCCAGTTCTGAATACTTAAAAATATACTCTGAAAAATACAGGTCATTTAGAAAGCAACACACACCTGAATTCCATGTCCCTTGCTCCAGCTTTCCCTTCTCTGTAATGCATCTGAGTTCATACAGAGAGGGCCATCCACCTTGTGTTTCAGACTCCAAAAGTAGTATCTTCCCCTGGAGCTGATGCAAATGGTCCCTGGAGTAGACAATCTCTGCCTTTTATAACCTTCCTTCCTCTTGTGTCAGGTGACTTCTTGATTAGCCTCTACAAGTGACCAAAACCTTCTACGAGGATACTTGAATACTGTGTAATCTGAATCTCCTATCTAATAAAACAACTGTTTCAAGTAGGAGCTAACCTGTTGTTTAAATTAATTACATTTTGGTGATAGAGCTTGAACAGTTATTCTTAGAGCCATATTGTTACCACTTAAAATTTTAGTTTAACATGAAAATAAAAGAACAACAGAGAAGGGCCACTTGTTCAAAGCAGAATTCGAGGCTTAACATGAAAATAAAAGAACAACAGAGAAGGGCCACTTGTTCAAAGTAGAATTCGAGGCTTGATAAAGATACAAACAGGGTGCATCTACACATGCAGTTAGCACATAGCAGTAAACTCTGGCGCAGTTTGTGCTGGAGTTTATTGCTCCTGGGTGCAGCATTTACACCACAGCACATTGCACCAGGGTGGCATAATCCCAGGCTGATGGGGGATACGGGAGAGTCAAGTCTGCCAGCCCAGGGCTGCTCCAGCCTAGGGCTGCTCCACCCCAGCTCAACGTGCTGTGGGCGGGCTGGTTGGGGCATGAGAGTGCTACAGTGCAGGGCTAGCTAGGAGACAGCCCCCTCACTGTAGCACCCTTGTGCCTCGATCAGCCCCAGTTGTCTACATGTGCGTTTTGGTGCACATAACTACTCCGCTATAGAATAGTGCTTGTGCTAGACGGTACCATCCTACAGCAGAATTAATTTACTATGTCCTAATATGGGTGTATGCATAGACCGTGACACTTTATTGTGGAGCTAATTAGTCAGCTCCACAGTAAACCGTACATGTAGATATATGCACCCACACAGCGTTAGATTTATACAGAATTCATAGTTGTATAGACAGATTTCCCAAATTATCATGACAGATGCCCGCAAATTTAGCACTTACTGTGATTGTATGTGTTTTTATGTGAAAATACATAAAGCGCAGGCTTGGAGAGAGTGATAAACGTTAAATCTCCCAAGTTGCCAAATATACTTTTCTGCATCTTACTTAAAGCCATTACCTTGGATACTTAAATTATGCCTAGTTTCCCAGGACTGCTGCGTGTTGTTACATTTTTATCCAGGAAAGTTGTCATTGGTACAGAACTGAATCTTACCCATGCTGGCCTTGGCTAGGGTCTCTGCTTCAGAGGAATTCCACAGGTAGAAAAAAATATATTTTTAAACCAAGAACAGCTGTTTAAACTGCTGAATGGTTTGGAATGTGTGATTAAGTCCTAGAGGAGACAGATTAGCAGGTAAATGACAGGTGAAGCTGTCAAGGTTTCATCAGAAATATGCTCGTCACCTTTTTGTATTTTTATCACATGGATATCCTATCACCTGATATCTACTACACCAATAAACACAGCCAAGGCCTGTAAATGTACTGAAGAAAATAACTCATTTACCACTATTTTCTATCTTAGAAGCCGACATTAGTCCTTATAGTGACATCCACTGATATGATGGCCAAACCAAAATAACAATAATGCCTCAGATTCTGGGGCTGTGCTGTCTATTGACAGACAAAAAGTTATGAAATGACCCTGTTCAGATACTTTCCTGTTCCTTAAATATCTTTTGCTATGAAGACAATGAAACACATTCTACAAATGTATTATACAAATGCATAATATACATAGAATAAGACCATGTTCTGCTCATTGCATGTTCATACTGGGCATATGAGTGTTCTGATGTATAGGGGTATCCATAGTTCAGAGTTGTTTTCTGTTTATGTTAAAAAAAATTACATTTTTGTTTCTGCCATCATAGTTGAAATTTATGTTTGAATTTTGTCTTTGAATTGATTGTTCTTCTCTAGAGTAGTGGAATTCTACAAGAGCCAGCGGGATGCAATGCTTGTTGCAGCAGACAAGTGGTTAAAAGGTCAGTGAATGCAACAAAGCTACATACATACAAAGGGTTTTTTTCCTAACTTAGAGTATTCCATCTTATATACCTAAGTCACTAAGTCCAGTCCCCTGGTATCACAGGCACCATGTCATATAATCCCCTTCTTAAATTTATTAAGTTCCACCTTAAAAATAATTGGGATTTTCCCCCCTTATACTTTGATTGAATGGTTAATCCAGACTCTCAGGGCTCTACTGGTTGGAAACTTCATAATTTATATATGACCAGTTTATAACCATTTATTCTTGTGCCAAATTGTCCTTTAGCTTAAATAGCTCTTCTGTGTCCCTGGGGTTTGCTTCCCATATATATTATGGACAATAGTCATATTAACCAACGACCGACTCATATTAACCAACCAGGAACCGACGAATTACTCATATTAACTGTCGACGCCTACACAGTCAAATGAGTCACAAATTGGCTGGAGGGCCGCACCCAGAGAGTGGTGGTGGACAGGTCATTTTCAACCTGGAGAGGTGCAGGCAGGGGGTTCCCCAGGGCTTGGTCCTTGGGCCCGCACTGTTCAATATCTTCATCAGCAATTTGGATGAGGGGGTGAAAAGCACCTTGCTCAATTTCGCAGATTACACCAAGATGTGGGGAGAAGTGAGCATGCTAGAAGAGAGGGACAGGTTACAACTAGATATTGATAGGTTACAGAGATGGGCAGATGAGAACAGGATGGGTTTCAATACGGACAAGTGCAAGGTGCTGCACCTGGGGAGGAAGAACCAGCAGCATACCTACAGGCTGGGGAACTCCCTTCTCATCAGCATGGAGGCAGAGAAGGATCTTGGAGTCTCTGTTGATTCCAAGATAAACATGGGCTGCCAGTGTGGGGATGCGGTCAGGAAGGCTAACCACACTTTATCGTGCATCCATAGATGCATCACGAGCAGGTCCAAGGAGGTGATCTATGCGACATTGGTCAGGCCACAGTTGGAGTCCTGCATCCAGTTCTGGGCACCACGCTTCAGGAGGGATGTGGCCAGCATCGAGAGGGTCCAGAGGAGGGCCACTCGCATGTTCAGGGGGCAGCAGGGCAGGCCCTACAAGGAGAGGCTACAAGACCTGAACCTGTTCAGCCTCCACAAAAGAAGGCTCAGAGGGGATCTGGTGGCCACCTATAAACTTGCCAAGGGAGACCAGCAAGTAATGGGAGAGTCCCTGTTCCCCTGAGCACTACCGGGGGTAACAAGGAACAACAGCCATAAGTTGACTGAGAGTAGATTCAGGCTAGATATCAGGAGGCACTACTTCACAGTCAAGGCAGCTAGGAGCTGGAACCAGCTTCCAAGGGAAGTGGTGCTTGCTCGTACCCTGGGGATCTTCAAAAGGAGGCTAGATAGACATTGCCGGGGTTGTTTGACCCCAGCCTCCTTTCCTGCCCATGACAGAGGGTTGGACTAGATGATCTGCTTCGGTCCCTTCTGACCCTACCAACTATGAAACCCTTCTTTGCATCTATTCAAGGTTCAGTGAATGGTGTACAGTGTTCCAGATGAAGTTTCAGCTGTGCCTTATACAACAACATTAATACTTTTCTATCTCTACTGGAAATGCCTCTCCTGACATATCCTTGGATTACATTTGCCTTTTTTACAGTGCTTCACATTGGTGGCTCAGCCATCCCATGAACAAGTACACCCAAGTCCTTCACCTCCTTAGTTTTTTCCAACTGATGAGTCCAGGCTTATTGCAGAGCTTTTTTTTTTTGGCCCCCAGTACATTACACCTAAATGATCTTGCATTTTCTGCTATCGCATTACATCAAAGTTTTATTAGTACAGTTCTTAAGAGTATCCACTTCTTTCACTGGTATTCCAATCCTGCTCTGAACTGGCAAATGTTTCCCAACTTTGTCATCAACAAAAATTTCTTCCCGCTTCAGTTCTGTTTTCAAGAAAGTCACTATTAAAGCATCTCTACAGAGTGAAGTGATAAACAGAGGTTATGAGTAAATCAAGAGTTTTTGTCGGTTTTCACATTTGTTTAAACTCAGAATATTATCAGATTTTTCAACATTCCAGTTTTTCTAACTATTTGAAAAGGGCAGGGTATAAGGAAAGGCATTGTCATGCTATTGTGGCAGGTACACATACAAAAAGTATAAAACAGTGTAACATTTTTTATTACCAAAGCAAGAAGCTTCGTCCTAAACATTAACAATTAGCTTGTGCTATAGTGATTTCTGCCAAAGCCATGACAGACACTTGTGATCTTAAAGGGCTCATAACAAAGGAGTAACATTATTTTATTCATTTTATATGCTGTACAGTCGGCAACAGTTCAGACACCAACATGGGACTGACCATAGTTATCTTAGAACTCATCTCTCCATACATAGCCACAACTATGACTCCTGACCACCAAGGACTCCTGGGTGCATCATACGTAGTACCATTACAGTAGTATCTGAACACTACATCATCTTTAATGTGTTTACTGCAACTTCTTCTCCCCCCTCCCAGTTACGCAGTAGGGAAGTACTATTATTCCCCTTTTACAGATAGCCTTGTGTGACTTGAAGCCACTCATTTAGCTTCCCTACAGCTCAATTCCTTATGTGTTAAAAAGGGGATAGTGCTGTGAGACCTCACAGGGGAAATTAAGATAAATATATGCAGGAAAGATATAGTAAGATCTTCAGACAATATGGTAATAGCGATATAATAGTAACAAAGGTAGTACACAATGACAAATGAGTAGTTTGTCATTACTATACTGTGGGTAATGATCTAACGTACCTAAGGAGTTGGGGCAGATGGCAAATGCAATAAATTACATACTCTATTCATATAATGCACAGAAGAAAGCTGGAGTTAGTACCCACAAGAGTATTTGGCTTGCTGAGCTGCCAGAAACAGCAGTAAGGGTCTTCACCTATGCCCTTCTCTACTCTGCTTAGTCTTATGAGGAAAAATGTGAATAAAAGAAAAGAAACAATTAACTTTCTTACATATTTATACCATCTATAATTTTGCAGTTGTGCTTAAGGTAATGATGATACCAAAGGAGTTGGCATTAGAAAAAAATGCTCTTGGATTCTTTAGAAGATGTTTACTTGCAGTTTCAGAAATCAGTCTGCCATTCAATTTCAGTTTGCTACTTGTTGAGCATTCTGTAACCAACTGAGAATAAAAGGATGAGAGTGTTCATTTTCTAAAATACCAAAAACAACAGGTTTTTTTCAATACTGATATAAGTTACATTACTGGATAATTTTATCAGAGGCACTTTAAATTCTGTCTGTGACAACCTGGTTCCATTGAAGGTCAGTAGCAAAACTCCTACTGATTTCATCTGAAGCTAGGATTTCACCCTAATATCCATTACAGAGAGGACAGATGTATTTTTGTTTGATTTTCTGGGTTTTTTTCTTTTAATCTCTCCAGGTTTGGCAGACTGGTACTCCCCTGCTGCTGGAATGTTTCTATGGATTAAAATTAAGGGAGTTTCTGACACCCAACAGTTGATCATGGAAAGAGCTTTGCAGAAAGAAGTATGATTAACATTTACTGAAATTCAAATGAACTGGCAAGGATTAAGTCAAATATTATTTAATATATAGGCGTATGCATATGGGGAAAAACTATGGCCATGTATTCATTAACCTGGCAAGTTATGAACAGACATATAGTCTTGGAGACTAGTGACCATCCTTACTAATGAAACACTTTCCTAACTATATTCTAATAAGGCTAGGTCCTGCCAGCCAT